GCATGTGTGTGTTCACATATTAACGAAGCCAGCAGTTCTGAGTCAAAGTAATTAGAACAGAAAAAGTTACATCTATTCTTGGCCATTAAGGTTTTCTGAAGACTATCACCCACTTTATATATATATATATATATTGGTTTTAACCATCACTTTGATTAGGTAAGATCGAATACTCGTCTGGTTAAGTTGATGAGCTTCTTTTTGCTTTCATGTGAGAGAGAAAGAAGCAAGACAAAAAAAGACTAATTGTTAAGCTTACTTCCATTTCGAATAAAAATATTTTGTGAAGAGATTCGAAGGTCGGTTCAACCAGAAGACGACAGCGGATTCCTTTTGATCAGCTGTCGATCGGAAGATTCATGCTGACGCAGTTTCCGAGGCAATCTTTTTTGATTCCAGGGAAAATGTGCTAAGCTTTCGTCCGTCATGTGACGAACATCATCAGAGCAAGGTATCATCATCACAACAAAAATCAAGCTAAAAAAAACTTAGCGGCAAATTCCTAAAAAGTGTTATATATATACTCTACATCTAGCATCTTTGATCAGCTATAAAGTGATTTTGTTAGTTACGGTCATACTTCAACCTTGAAGCCTGTGAAGTTGTCTGCCTCTGTATGCATATGTGCCTGTTTGTGTGATGGCTAAAAGTAATTAGGACAGCAAAATTAATGTCTGTTCTCAGCCATCGAGTTTTGATGATCACCACCTCCTCCCTTCTACATGCATGTTATAACCATCACTCCGATTGCGCAAGGTCGGACACACGTTAACTTAAATTTGGTTGTGACGATCATACCTTGCTCTGATGATGCTCGTCATATGACGGACGAAAGCTTAGCAACTTTTCACCAGAATCGAAGGAGATTACTTTGGAAGCAGCGTCACCATGGATATTCCAGTAAAGCAAATCAACAGCTGGTCAAGCGGAATCCTCTGTCGTCTTCTGCTGGAATCGACTTTCTAATCCCTTCACCAAACACTTTCACCCGAAATGGAAGTAAACTCAACAATTATGAAACAAGAAATATTTTTATTGTATTCCTTATTCGGTTTGTTTCTATGGCTCCTCTAACTTTTCGTTTAGTCTCAGATATATAAAAATCAACAAAATTAGAATTTTGGGACTATTCAATATTTGTCCACTTTCTGCTTTGTACTCAGGCAGCTGTGATTTTTGAACTCATCAGCTCGTACAGGCGCTTTTGTGATTAGCCACACTGTCGAATCGGACGACAAGTCTCTCAAACATAAAAGCGACCACATGAACACCTTGTTTTATAGTAACTGTCATTTTCTGGTGAGATCAACCTTCGAATCTCTTCATCAAAATTGAATGAAGTTCAATAATCTTCGTCTCCCTATTCAAAGGTGAAATGGACGTGTTGGATATGATGATTTTGTTAAAGTGTGTGATAACGACATTTGAACAATGATAGCCCACTTTGAGGATGTTCGTTAAATGATACACAAAAGCTTAGCAAGCAGATATGAAGAACATGATGTTGTGACCCCTATTTTCGTCGCACAGCCGATTGGCAGAAAATCGCTCAAGTGATTGACTTCATTTGTCTATTTTACGAGTCGTAGCTTGGGGCTTAGAATGACAAGGCTTACTGACGATGCCGGCGAAACGTCTGCAAGCATATCAAGTCCCAGGTCCAACGCTGGGAATTATGATAACTACTACAGCAGAGGACTTAACACAATGTGAGTCCAACTATATTCCCCTGACAACACGACGAAGTTATGAAAATGTGGTCAGACCCCAAATGAAAGTGTACCATGTTTTGACAGGAATCGCAGAATATTGCCTTAAGTACAGCTTCATCCAGAATACTTTATTAGTGCCAACCGAGAGCTGGTTAAAAGGAATCCGCCGTCGTCTTCTGATGCGATCGACCTTCATATCTTTTCATCAGACACCTTGGCTACAATTGGAATTAGGCCCATCAACTATAAGCTTAGAGACTCATTTGAACCAAGCATTTCTTGGTATAAAAGTATTTTTGCCTATTTTGTCTATCAATGCATGCCTACAGCATGATTAATGGTAAAGCAATTAAATCTTAAGTTTGCCACCTTCCTGTGACGGATTATGAGGAAGCACTGCTGTAGATGCCTCAAGTCAAAGTATCGCCATTTTCTGGGACATCGACAGATGTCACTTTTTTGAGATAAAATGGAAACTGAATTCCGAAGCATGCTTCCATAATTTTATATTGTTATTCGTTTTGTCACATTTAAAAAGGCAGATAGCCTCGCTGGAAAGTGAGCGAGAATTGACTAGCATTTTGGTCCGTACATTCATACGAAGAGGTCCCCAGTGCGCAGACCTACGATACCGATGCCTCAATGCTAACCATTTCCTATCTCATCATGACAAACGTATGCAGACGTAGGCAAACCTAGAAATTATTGTTTACGAAAAAGGGGCAAAAACCTTTCTTGGTTGAATGTATGTGTGATTCTTCTGCAAATGGCGTCTTCTTGCTCTGTCAATGTTCCCAGAAGTTGGAAAGCAGGAAATCCGGACTGCAGGACAATCCTCCTTTGCTATACATAATTCATCCAAACTCGAGATACAGCCACCTCCGTCAGAGTAGTCATGGCAATTCGTAGCCTCGGACGGTCGATTTAGATTATGCCCAGACATCAAGGTTGGCCTAAAAACACGAATACAATTGCAAAAATGTGCTCACACCAGTTCTATGCCTTGAAAGGAGAATGCGATCATAAGTGCACTCTTACCTTAGTTACCGATAGAGCCATTTTATGCAAGATTTTTACCCGTCTTTCCAAACAATATCAGGATTCAACACCTGTCGCCCATCTTGTCTAGTTTGGGGCCATATGAAATTCCTTAATAAAATATAAGCATCCTTAGAAAGGTCTTAGGTCCAGTGGGGTGAAGAAGAACCAACCTTCGAGCATTATCAACTCTTATTTCTTCGTTTATTGTATCTTATACGTTTAGTTTGTCTGGGCTGTAGGTGGGGATATCTGGGTACAATCCCAGTTTCCTCCAGTGAGAGCAATTTGTGATTTTTTTCCTACCAATTTTTCAGTCTAAATGATGGCACGTCATAATAAATCTCTATTAGCTTGCTTAAAACACAATTTTTCTTTATACTATGAATAGTGCCCTTACTAATGGTCATAAATTCCTACTTCCAAAATCCAAGTAGAGGATAGTTACCCTCGTCAATAAGTCGAAAAAAATTATTCGACATTGATCGTTTCTCTCGTCATTCAATAAACATTCAGAGTGCACAAATTAATGATAGTCTCGAAAACAAATAATCTCATCAATTGTTATGTCAAATACCTGTTTGCCAAATCTACAATCTCACTATAAGGATGTGATTTGGTGGAATGCCACATTTGTCCTGCGGTATGGTAATGTTTCCACGGCGCTCATGGCTAGGATCTTGATTTTTTGACCCCAAACAGTCTCCTCAAGCCAGGATGCAATGGCCCTCTGAGAGGCAGGGCCTGAGGCCTACTCATCAGAGAGAATGAGGAAAATTAACTATCAGTCTCTAAGTCACAGCAAGTGGTCTGGGATGACTACGTTCTTAGTAGAGAATTATTAAATCTCAAAACTTGCTTATTTTGAAAAAAATGTGCACCTAATTCCTGCATATAAGGAACACATGTTTCAACTGGTCTTCTAATGAGGCTTATTTTCTATTACTCAGGTCTCTTTCTCCTGCAAGTTTTACTAATACGCCTAAGCTTCGCATACGGATGAAATGAATTGAAGAGAAGCCGTAAAATGTGTTGTTAAGTCTTCTGATGTGGCTATTCTCAGATGTACATATAAAAAATACGAGCAAACTGATGGACATCTTAAAAGTAAATGCAACCCTTTCATAGCTAGTGCCTTGTTTCTAAAGCAATATTTGGCATGCAACGTGTTTCCGCCTTAGTCCCAGTGCTCTGTAATTGGATTCAGATTAATTTTAACTATCAGTAAATGTTTACTGTTAATTATTGTTATTAATATTTATTGTCTTTTATTATTTAATATAGTACCATTATTGATATATTTCATTATTATTATTTATGCACCATAAGTTTTTATTTTATTTTAGTTTAATTCTTATGTATCATACCAAGGCCTTGAGTTGCGTTTTGCATTCGGAATATGCACAGGAAGTTTTACTTTTAAGGCGTGGATCCTTGGTTGTATTGAGTAGAAGACTCCATGGATAGTGACCCCTGAAAAGTGACAATTCGAGTAGACAATAATCTATCCGAAGTTTAATTAAAGATATGGAGACCAAGATATTGTGACCTATGGTATGTTCGCAGTCTCCTTTCGATTTGTAAAAGTGGGTTGACCTCGTTATCGCAAATTGATCTTGTTGTCAGGGCGACTTAGTAGAACGCGCCTAGTCCGAAGTCGTCTGCCATAGTAGTTGATGCTGCCGATTAAGATGCCGGCGAAACGTTTGAGAATGTACCAAGTCCACCGTCTGATGCTGGAAATTATGACAACTACTTCGGACTAGGTGTGTTGTACTAAGTCGTCCTGACAACAAGACCAAGTTGCGACAACGAGGTCGACCCACTTCTAATAATCTATCCGGTTGATGAAGATGATAAGCAAGCTTATCATTGCTTGTACCATAGTAACAAGCGAATTTCCCTTTCTTCGTAATCCTGCCAAACAGAGAGCCTGTCGACGTCGGCTACAAGATGTGCAAATCCATGCTGTTCACCTGCCAGACACACTCGCCGACCGGCCACCGAGAGACCCTGAGACCGCATCAGCCCGCAACAAAAACGCGTCGTCCCGGCAACAACCGTCCCATCAGACCGGCCACTCGGGCCCGGGCACCGTATCGCCAACGCGAACCGGTCGAGCTGCCCGATCCACCTGCGCCCTGGACCACGGGCCAGACGAAATTGCGACGAGTCGGCCGGTCTCGAACTCCACACGCCTCGTTCCGACCGATCAGGCGGTTCAACGGAATGTCTGCAGCCTCGCACCCGAACCAAGCCGTCTGGGACGTCTCGGCGTCCAGCCACAGGCCGGCCCACCAGACGGAGGCATCAACTGGCCTCGTGAAGAGTCTGGTCAACCTGTACGACAACGGAAACTTCCACATGTTTGGCGATGCGTACGGAAGGCGAGTCGACAAGCTGATAGGGCCGGGAAAGTGGCCCCAATGGGGCGGCACAAGCCGGCCCTCGGGCGGTTCGTGTACTCACACTTTCACTGGGCAAGTTTGCAAATAATCGCACCATTTCACTCGTAGGCCACATGATGAAAATGAAATTGCGGCCTACGGCATTGGCATGACCCAGATTTACCAACATGGTCGCGTTGCCATGGCGACATGGTCATAGTGTTTATGATAATTTATTACCCCACAGCAACCTCGGGACGGATAGTATCGAGAATTTAGCCATTTTACTTAACTGCAAGACTTTCCAGGAACACCCCTTTCATGCTAAATTCTAG